CTTTTCCTTTTTTCTGTTCGTCATTTTCTATTTTCTCTTTTCATTTTTTGCTTCTATTACTCTTTTTTGTACTTCCTACCTTTTGTCTTCCTGTTTCGCTTGTTTTTTCATATTGCCTTTCTTTCTCTCTTCTATTCTCATTTTCATTCTCTTTCTCTTTCTTTATCCTGTGTCTTGTCATTTTCTCCTGTTCCTTTTCCCTTTGCATTTCTGTTGTTATCCCTACTGCTTCTTGTTCCTTTTTGTTTTTTTTTTACTTGATCCTTTCGCGTTACTTTATTTTCTTTTACGATCCCTTCTCGTTCCCTGTTCATACTTCTTTTTACCTTCTGTTTTTCGCTCCTACGTTGCTTCTTATCTTATTTCTCCCTTGCCTCTCTTGTCCTTTCATTTTTCTCCTTTGTTTTCTTACTCTTCTTTTCTTTTCTGTGCTATCTTGTTCTTCTCCTTATTCTTGCTTTTCGTTTTCTCCCTGTCTTCTTGCTCTATTCTCTGTTTCGTTTGTCTCTTCTGCCTTCCTGGTTCTTGCCCTTTCTTATTTTTTTGCTCTCTTCTTTGATCTTTTTCGTTATCGTTCCTCTTCTTCCTGTGATTTGTTACTGTTCTCTGCCTCCTGCTTCTCTCGTTTGCTTGTTGTCTTTTGCTTCTTTCTGTTTTCCCTTCTGCTTTGCTTCTACTTCTCTCCTTGTCTTTGTCATTTGTCTCTCATTTTCTCTGTTCATTTCTCTCGTTTCTTTATCCCTGCTTCTGCCTTTCTCTCCTTGTCTTTTCCCTTTCCTGTCACTTCTTTTATTCTTATCATGTCCTATCGTTTTCCTGTCCTGTTCTTTGCTTCCCTTTCCTGTCTTATACTTCCTTTTCTTCATTGTATTTCGTATCTCTCGTCTCTTTTTTTCTCTTCTCTTTCTTATCAATTTCTATACTCTCTTTTTCCTTCCTGTTTCTATATTATTTTACTTTGTTCCTTCTCTTTCTGCCCTTTTCCTTTCAGCCTTTCTTGCTCTCCCTTTCTTCTCTCTCGTGTCTTCTCTTTTTCCTGTTGTCTTTTTTGTTGTTTAGTTCCTGGTCTTCTGTTCCTCATTTCCTCCTTATTGTCTCTACTTCCTTATCTTTTCTCATTTTCATTCTTCTCTCCTATCTTATCGTTTTACTTATTGTCTCCTTTTCTTATTTCCTCAGTTACTCCTTATGCTATGCTGTCTGTTGCATCGTTCACTTGCTTCCTGCTTCCTGATCCTTTCTGCTCTTATCTCTCTTTTCCTTGTTTCGCTGGTTTTCATTTTATATTACCTTCTATCATTCTTGTTCTTTCTATGTACTACTTTTTTATTTTTTCTGCCTTTTCCTTTTTTCTGTTCGTCATTTTCTATTTTCTCTTTTCATTTTTTGCTTCTATTACTCTTTTTTGTACTTCCTGCCTTTTGATTTCTTTTTCTTCTCATTTTTATTTTCTTTCTTATGTGTCCTTTCTTTTTACTGTTATTCTTCTTCTTCTTCCTGTTGCCTCTCGTCTTCTTTAGCTCTTATTCCTCTTGCTTTTTCGTCGTTTCATTTTCTTCGCATTTTCCTATTCTTCTCGCACTATTGCTTCTTTTTATTGTCTTCGTTTCTTCTTTACTTTCTATTCTGTATTCGTCCTACGTCGTCCCTTGCCTTTTTCTGATTTTCTTGATTTTCATTATTCTATTTATGCTTTTTGTTTTTCCCTGTTGCTGTTTCTTTCTAATCTTTTATCTTCCTTTGCTTTTTATTCCTCTTCTTCTCTCTCCTCTTGCTTTCTATTCTTTGTCTTTTCTTTGTTCTGCTCTCTTCTTACTCCTTTCTCGTTGTTTCTCTTGTCTTTCTTTATCTTGCTTTCTGCTCTATTATCCACGCTGTTGCTTCTCCTTTCTCGTACTTCTGTTTTTTCCTTTTTTCCATTTCATCGTCCTATTATGTATCTCCTGTACAATTTACGCTTTGTTCTTTCTCACTTATCTCGTATTTATCTTTCTGCTCTGTGTACTTCGATTTTCTCTTCCCTGCCTTTGTCCTTTCTCTATTATTTTCTTTCTTTTTGCTCCTCTTTCCTTGTCATTTTTCTTCTTTTTTCTTCGTTTTATGTATTGTTCTTTTTTTTACTTGATGCTTTGTACTTGTGCTGTTTATCGTTCTTACTGTTATCTCCTTCTTCGTGTTCTTCATTATCTTGACTGGTTTCACCTCCTGCTGTTCGTTGCCTTTTCTAGTCGTATTGTTTCCTTTTTACTCCTGTTTTCGTTCTCTTTTTTCTTCTTTGTTGTTACTGTCATTTGCTTTGTTTATATTTTTGCTCCTCTTTTTTTTTTATTACTTCCTATTTGTCCTGTGTTTTATTCCTCTTGTTGTCTCTTTCCCATCGTTGTTTTATTTCTCGTGCCCTCATTTACTGTTGCTTCTCGACGTTCTCTTGTTTACTTTCTTTTTGCTCGTCTCTCTTTAGTTTCCTTCTCCTTTTGCTTCTTTCGTCTTTTCCTTTCTCTATTTCCTCCTTTTGTCTTTCTCGTGTTCTTGCTGGTTTGCTTCGTTATCTTCTACTCTTTGCTGTCGTTGCTGTTACTCGCACCTTTCTGCTCTTTTTCGTTATCTCCTGTTACTGCTGTCTTGTCTTTGTCTTTTTCTTTCTGTCTTCTCTTCCTTCTTCGTTCATTAATTTTTCTCTTGCTTTATTTCTTCCTTTTCGATTGTTCTTCTCCTGTTGTGCTCTCCTTCCTTTCCGCTTGCTTTATCTCTTGTTCCCTCTTTTTTCCTTTTGTTTTTTTTATTTCTTTTTGTTTTCGTCGTTGCTAATCCTTGGTATGCTTTGCTCTTTTTGTGTTCTGTTCTTTTCTTTTTTTCTTGCCTTCATTCTTTTCCCATTATTGTCTTCCTTATTTCCTCTCGTCTTTCATACTTTTTGCATATTGTCTTGTTTCCTTCTGGTACTTCGTGTCTCCTTTTACTCCATCTGCTTCTACCTATTTCTCCTTCTTGTCATTTTTTTTTCTATCATTTTTATCTTTCTTTTCATCCCTTTTTTTTCTCGCTACTTTTTCTTTCTCCCATGTCTCTTGTTTTCTCACTTTCAGTTATACTGTTTTTCCTTCTGGAAGCTTCTCCGCTTCTTTCTTCTCTCCTGATCTCCTATCCTCTTTTCTTTTCTTGCTCACTTCTGTCTTTTATCTTCTC